CTCTCGCGAATGCAGAGCATCTACTCCCAGCACTCCGCGAACACGATTTTCTGATCACGAACGCGGTTCACTAAATCCCAGAGACCAAAATTACTCTATGTGAACTCGACCCATTGACCACGAACGCGAAGAACATCAGAACATCAACAATCTCAAAATGGTTCAAAATGATCTGAAATCACCACGAAATTCACCCAAGCCCCTCGGGACCCCGTCCAAACATGCCAACAATTCCATATACATAATCCAAACTTATACAAAGGCTCTAACCACCATAAATAACATCAAAAGCACGAATAGAAGATCCAATCATTCTCTTAACTTCCAAACATTCAAACTTCGCCGAACTTGTCTGCATCACACTTAGACATATCGAATCGCAACTAAACTTTGTACACAAGTCCCAATCACCCAAATGAACCTATCCGAAGTTTCAGAACGCTAATCCAAGCTCGACAATACCAAAGTCAACTCCCGGTCGAACTTATGAATTCTCCAATTCTTTAACTTGCCAACTTTTGACAAATAGGTACAAAATCTTCTTGGAACCTCCAAATCCAATTTCGAACATACGCCCAAGTCCAAAACTATTGTGCATGTCACGACCCAAAAATATCAACCCACCGGGGTCATGATGACGCCTAACACCGCTTGTTAGGCAAGCCAACACATAACAGATAATATGAAAGAATAGCAACTTACAAATAACAACAAGATAAAAATATAAATTAAGAGCAACTCAATAGGTATACATAATAAGTCTAGAACCAACATCTAACGCAAACCATCCCAAGTTGTGTAGTCACACGTGTATGAGCTTTACTATTTTGAAAGAAGTACAATAATGTCCGAAAAGTGAAAACAGTACAACATAAAGAAGAAGGTGACTCTAGGCCTGCGAACTATTTGCAGATCTACGTCGAATCACCCAACTGGTATCCGCTAAGTACTTCTTGGGAATCCGCTGGTACTAATGTCCGATTTACACAAGAAGTGCAGAAGTATAGTATGAGTATAACTGACCCAATATACTCAGTAAGTATCGAGTCTAACCCCGATGAGGTAGTAACGAAGCTAAGACAAGACACCTACAATAAACATCTGCAGTCATATATCAAGAAGTAACAAAATAACAGGTAAAGAATCAAGTATAACAACAAGTTAAGACAAGTAAAAGGGATAACAAGTATGAAAATAAAGGGGCATAAACGGAAAAGTAAAGTGTCATCGAGTAAACCTCATCTCGTAGTATTGCAATAACTATGAACAACGAAGCCACAAACTCAAGTCCACATCAAACTATCAAGGTAAAGAGCAAAATAATTAACAAAACTGTACGGCATCATCCTTCGTATTTTTACTCTTATCCTTATATTACAATATAAAAATAAGCACGGAAACACCCTTCGTGCATATCCTCACATTTACTCAAGTATGGAAATACCCTTCGTGCAATAAATATAATGCATGGAAATACCCTTCGTGCACAATCACTCTTCCTCACAAGTACGTCAACACCATTCGTGCATTTCACTCTTCCTCACAAGCACGACAATACCCTTCGTGTATTTCACTCTTCCTCATCAAGAATCACAAACAACACAATACCAAGCAAGGTGGGAAGCAAATTTAACATCAACAATGGTATTTGAACATAACCCGTTATATGAGAATCTTCCTACAATTAGCACCAATAACCAATAAATATTTTAATGATCTCAACACCCAATATCCCAATGATCTCGACATAGGAAATAACATGAATGGGAGAAATTAAAGAATTATACAATCTATCTAAAGCATGGAAGACATAATACACAAATAACATGGTACAAATATGGCTAATTCAACTCGCATGCTTATCCCATGGCCAACGCATATACATCTGTCACCTTGCATACGCCTCCCCCAATATATATAGTTCAAATATCAAATAGACTCGATTATACATTATTTTCCTCAATTCAAGGTTAACCAAGATACTTACTTCTTACTGGAACACAATCAACAATCCAACACGACTTTTCCATTAGAAAAAGCCTCCAAACCACTCGTATCTAGTCAATTATCATTCAAACACTTAAAACAAGCTTTAAAAATTACCCACAAATAAAAAGAAGTTCAATATTTAACACAATTGAAAAAGTCAATTCGGGCTCATGTGGTCGAAAACTGAAATTAAGACCAAATCTCGATTACTCATTCACCCCCGAGTCCGAATATGTGATTTGTTTCGAACCGACCTTAATTTGAGGTCTAAATATCAGTTTTATAAAATCCTTAAATTCTACCAAAAACTCCCAATTTCTACTTTAAAATTCTCAACTTTGATGATGGAGTTCATGAAAAAGAAATAAAAATTGAACAAAAACAAGTTAAGATTACTAACCAATGAATTTGAGAATAAGTTGCTCTCTAAAAATCGCCTCTATGGAGTCTAGGTTTCAAAAATTGTGTAAAATGAGCCAAGTCCCAAAATTCTCAACTTTTACCCGGCTGCAGATATTCGCAATGCGACAACTGCTCGCAATTGCGAACAAGCCTCTAAGCCTCCAATATCGCAAAAACGATGCCTCCATCGCAAATGCGAACCTGGGAAGTCCGCAAATACGAACAATGCATTGCAAATGTGAAGCTGCCCCTAAATCTTAACAGTTGAAAATACGACTGTCCAACCGCAAATGCGAAGCCTTCAAGTCCGCATATGCGACACAAACTTTGAAAATTTGCGAAGTTCCCAGCTCCAGCCCATCTTCGCAAATGCGAGTCATCCCTCGCAAAAGCGATGCTCGCATTTGCAAGCAGAATCTCGTAAATGTGAGATCTGCAGACTATCAACACCAGCACTTCACCGGCTATGCCAAAACCATTTGAAACTCACCCCAACCCTTCGAGCTCCAATCCGGACATCCACACAAGTTTAATAACATCATACAAACTCGTTTGCAAGCCCAAATAATTAAAATAACATCAAAATTCAAGAATCGATTATTAAAACTCAAGATTTTCAAGTTTAAAACTCAATTTTGCCAACTTTTCACATAACGAGCCGAAATGGCCTCGGGTCACCCGGGACCCCAACCAAACAAGTGTACAATTCCAATATCATAATACTACCGGAATAGTCAAAATACTGATCCGAAGTTGTTTACCAAAAATATTGACCGTGGTCAACTCTAGTCATTTTTAAAGTCAAATATCATATTTTCTTTAAAATTTCACATATAAACTTTCCGAAAAATCTACACGGACCACGCACGCAAGTCATAAATCATCAAATTGAGCTACGAAAAATCTAAAAATATAGAAAAGGGAGCTAGTACTCAAAATGACCTATCGAGTCATTACAGTAAAAACCTATTGAAACCATCAAATCTCGATTCCTAGGTCGTTTACTCAAAAGTCAAACCTTGGTAAACTCTTCCAACTTAAGGCTACATTATTGAGAATTATTCTTCCAAATCAACTCCGGACACTTGAAAATTAAACTCAACCATACACGCAAGGCATAATGCATTAAGTGAAGCTACTCAAAATCTCAAACCGCCGAACAAAATGCTAGAGCTTAAAATGACTGGTCGGATCGTTACACTTGTCCCCTCTTGTATACAACAGTTTGACTACATCGTATGACTCGAACAACTCTGGACTAGTTGTTGAATCCAAAGCTCCATTACTTGAAACACTTTCCTTCAATAAAATCATATTCTCTTTTGTAGAGAAAAGGTTGGAGACTTCTATTTTCTCCTTCCCTCGACTTTCTTCTTCCCGTGCTCTACAACACTTTCCTATACCCAAAGTCCCAAATACAAGGAGGAAAAACCATTATATACATGTGTATAATCTCTTCCATTAAATAATAAGGTAGTGGAATAATAACATAGGTTAGTGGTTACAAATTTAAGCTTTAATGGGTAAGTAGTGGTAGATCACAATGTTAGTGGTTACATGAGTTACACCAAAAATGATAATTATTTTCTTTGCCAATTTATAAACACTAACATGATAAAAGATATACACGTTAATATTATAATTTTAATATTAAAATAGGCATACTCCAAAACTTCCGCTCACCAATGTTTCCATCTTATCAATCGCAAGCTTCATTAAAATCTTCTTTCTTGTTCCTATTTTTGTTTTGGTGTCGCATAATTCTATGGAAAGCCAATTACATATTCAAGAAAATGGAGTTTTCTATTAAGTTTTATCCCAACTGTAATGAAAGTATATTTTTGCCCCAAAATGTTAAGTTACATTATAAATTTGCTTCTCCCTTTCAATGGGTTAACAGGTAAAATGTAATTGAAGGATTAAAGATTATGTTTTTGGTGTCAGGTATTACCTATGATCGAGACAAACATAGGTACATTCTATCTGGACAATTCCCTGCAGAGAAAAAGAAATACTCTTTTTGGAGTAGTAATTATGCTGCGCATCAACACAAATATATATATATATTGGACATTTTCCTTGCAATATTAGAGAAAACAAATACTCCAGCTTTACACTTCCGGGATTTGAGAAAATAAATACAGTAAATAAGTACTCAGCTCGGTGCCCGCTGATGCATAAGGCAATTAAAGCAAGGCATTAGGCCCCAAAATTTTGGGGTCCCATTTTTCACTAGTAGTAGGTGTATGAATTATTAATTTTTATCAATAAATTAAAATAAATATTTTGAAGTAAAAAAGTACAACTTTTCAATAAACTGAAAATAGAAAACTTCAAAATAGATTTGATCAAGTTGAAGCAATAAAAATATTTTTGGTTTTCTATTAGAGGCACAAAATTAATATCACTAGGCAATGCAAATCTGAAAAAATATTGTCTTTACCACAAAAGTTCCTTAAAACATAATAATCACTTCAATATTGATGTTTAAATTTATTTTTCCAATTAAAAAGTATTAAAGGAAAGTAATAGAAGTAGAAGATAATACTCTAGCTGATATTTTCAATCAGATAAAAAGACTTGATTTTTTTGTATCTATGTTTATTAGAAGAAGTCGATTATATTATTAATAATTTGCATCTATAAAAGTTACGGAAATACTTTCAAATAAAAATATGCATTTTTAAAAAAAAAAAATTAGGCCTTTCATCTAGGTTTGACTTTGGTCACAAATCTTTTTGAGCCGCCCGTGAAATTCAGCTCGAGGAAGATGATGAAAACCTACACACACGTGCTTGTTGATAAACAAGTCCTGGCTTGCAAAAATACCCTTTTGATGGACTACAATGCCTATCTTCTGAACAAATACACATCCCTTCTAAGGCACAGCCATCCCCCTTTGCAGTTTGCTTCCCAAACAATATCTCATCAGACCATTCACTAGACAACATATTCTTAGGATCCAATTGATTCTTGGCTGCAATAAACTTGTTAAATTTTAGATACTTCTTCTGCACATCAAGAAATGCTACATTCCTATTTTTAGCCCAATGTGGCTTAGCTCCATACTTAACAAAAGCCATTTGCTCTACTTCTTCCCAAATATCTTGGTTTAATCGCGGGGTTAAGGCATCATTAGCGCGAAAATAGTTAAAATCCAAGACAACTGAATCTTCGCTTTGACCTAAATATGCTTCCGAGGCCTTGATGAAACGAAAGAGGAATCCGTTATAAATGTCAACACCACACATGTTTTCTGGCTTGACTAAATCGCGTAATTTTTTCACATCACGTATGAAATCTCCAAATTTTGAAGCTGGAAATTTGGCTGTGGATTCATAGAAGAAGAGTCCATTGATTCTTGGATCCCAAGCACATGTGTTAGTGATGTCTATAGGAGATGAGTATAAACAAGAACCTGAAGTTTGCATTTTCCCGTGAGGACCCACTACTGGATATCCAGTGAAGATTAACTTGTTGTTTTTTAATCCATTTGCTATCAATCTCTTATAGGACACGAAAGAACTTGCCATTGTGCATTTGCCACCCACGTTTCTCGTGTTTTCAAAGCCTTTTTCTGCAAAACAAAATAGTATATATAATTGTGAAGGTACATACATTAAACTACAAATAATTAAATGTTAACTCCACAAATTGTGTTTTAACATCACACTAATCATAGGGGTCACCTAATCCCTTCACTGAGCTTTCTTTGCCAGAAATAGCAAAACTATTACAAAAAAACTATGACACAAGTTATCAAATTTACCGATTCCTCGATTGCATGTCGAATGAATATATTAACTTACGTATATACAATGAAAAAAAACTATTATTTGTAATTGATATATCTTATTAAGTGATTTGTACTCATTTCCTGTGTTAGAGTAAGGATGCATATTTTAATGTTTCTATAAACTAATTCCATAATATTAATATTAATAATTAGATAGAATAATATATACCTGTGGCTCGAACAGACTTAGAGAGCAGAATAAGATTGGATTGAAATCCCAGAAAATCATTGACACCATCGCCTGATGTGTTTAAGGGGACTCTGTTATCATATCTGTACACAGCAGTACGTCTAGAAGGGTACCATTGAATGTCACCAAATTCATTCTTCCTTGCATGTTCCATAAACTCATCTTCTATATCACTATCATTCGTGAAATTGTATGTTATACTTCTTTTGAATGCTGGCTCCAATTGAAACGTCACCTACACAAAAATGCAGGTACAACGTTCATATTCTATTATACACTTAAAAAATTAGGCCGGGTTTCACTTTCCTCTATATCGTTCCAATTTTGTGGGGTGTCCTAATAAAAAGGCCATTTAACTTTTCCCACATCAGGGGATGCAAGGGGGTTCAATTAAATTCCCTTGTAATTTTGATAGTGTGTCAAGTTTTCACACCTTTTCACTAATTAATTTGATAATGTAGGGCTAAGTTAATCCAAAATACTGTTAATATTCTCCACTTTAGGTCAAACCCGAATAGTTTTCTCGAAAAGGCCTCGCACCAAAGATTATCCTATAGCTTATATATAATTTTCTTTTCTTTTTAGCTACCATATTGAATCAAGGGTCACAATCCACCCACAACACCTACAAATGGTTCTTGATGACATCAATTATAACCTGAGAGATCAACTTGTACAGATTGAATTCAGGCACTACTATAGAGAGGCCAAATGGGCCTGCAGAATCTCCCTACTGAAATTAGAGGACAATTGAGACTAGTTGATGAAGATGTACAATGTGAACCTTGTTACTTTTTGTGGACCGACAGATCAATACTATTCATTGAGGCTATTTCTCTGGACTCCCAAGTAAAAGCTTCAATGAAGAACATTATCATTTTTATATATGCAACAAAGTTAATAGATTCTCCTCTTTTCCTTTCTGATGTACCATAATCTATTTTCTCTTATTATAGAAGCGGCAGTTGAGCTCCTCAGGAGTCAGTGTCATCAACATGCTTGCCTAGCATACTACGCGAGTGTCCACTTGATTTTCTAATAGGTGCATGTATACCTTTTCTAATAGGTGGGGGCCCGTTTGAATTTTCTTCACATTCTCACTCTATTTCCCAAATGTGAATTTGTAGGGCTTTCTATTATAATAGCCACGTGCACTAGACTACCGATTACAGCACATCATAGTAATAAATAGTAATGATGATGATCCTACGAATTCAAGTTTCTGACAGCTTCCGAAAATTTTGTTTACAAGTACAAAAACAATATGCAATGTTTGCTAACAAGTTTTTAATTGTTAATAGAATAATACGGCAGAAAAAGTAAATAAAAAAGGTAATAAACTATAGCTAACCAACTTTGCCTAGTAATGTAAATAAACAAAAATGTAGAAATTATTTACCGAATCTAATGTAGAACAAAATATAAAAGTATTTTTCTTGATATTATAATAAACATACAAAGTTCAACAATTTAAAAATATATAGCGATCATCTATTTTTGTGGTTAAAAAAGGGAGAAAAGTAACTCAAAAACTTTTTTAGAACACTTTTTAAAAAAAAGAAAATTATTGCTAACATTGTAACATGTTGAAACCATCACATTTACTGCACATCAATCCTCAAAATTGAGAAGAGTTATAGAAAGATGAGCGGTAAAAAAAAAACCTCAAAATGGGTATCTCACTTTTACTGGCACCATATTATGTACATTTAGTATTTATGTTTGATGATAATAAGTAACTCATAACTGAGTTTATAAAATCTTATTTTGTAATGTTATACAATATATTATTTTTTTTATTACCGGTACTTAGAGTGAAAAGAATTATTTGAGATTCATAAATACAATCACCTAAAATATGACGTTATATGAATTATGTGCAAATTTGTGTAAAAGAGGCAAAAAGATTATTTTCTAATTATCAAAAATTAATACAACTTCAACAGCTGGTAACTAATATTCCAAGTGAGAAATTTGCAGTTGCAAAAATCAATCAAAAACTTGAAAATACAATAAAAAGAAGAAGAATAATCATCTATTTAAAAATAAATCTATCATATCTTCATTTTGCCGTACTTTAATTTTAAAAAATAGTAACTATGGTACGTGATTTGCCATGAGAAATGATCGAATATGAGTAAAATCTTCCGAAGAGTATAATAGCTAAACCGTTTTTCAGCCAACTTTAATCACAAAAGAAAAAGTCATTATTCAATACCATTAGATATTAATTAAAAAATTTTAAACTTTGTAATATAAAATTATAGAATAAAAAGGGAAAAGCAAAATATTTGTCTTTGCAATTTAAACCACAAGTGATGTTATCATCCTAATTTTGCAAGAAGGATTGACCAAAATCATTGTTCCCGCAAATAGACCAAACACATGAGTTACTTTCGTTTAAATCACTTCCCAGTAATTTTCTTAGGTACATACTACTCTTTACCTTACTTATATTGTGAATAAATATACAAAAAATTAATTTTAATTAATAAATCCTTAACAAATAAAACACGATATTATAAATAGTAAAATAGCATGTGCAAGTACAAACGAGGTAAATTTATTCTTCGTATTCACAAATAACAAAAATTTTAACTTTGTTTATATCACCTTATAAATATGTTAATCCCTTCGTTCCAATTTATATGATGATGTTTGACTGTACATATTATTTAAGAAAGAAATTAAAAAATTTAAAATTTGTGGTCTAAAATATGTTATAAATATTTCTATGGCCTGAAATTATTTTATTAAGAGTAAAATAAAAACTTTAAATTTAAATTATTCTTAAATATAAAAAGATATCATTCTTTTTAAAATATACTAAATAAAGAAATGTGTTACATAAAACGAGACAGAGGAAAAAAAAATTACTCCCTCCATTTCAATTTATGTATCTATTTAACTGGGCACAGAGTTTAAGAAAAAAGGAAAGACCAAATCTACTCAATGCCCAAATCTACTCCAAATAAGTTTAAATTTGAAACATAACTTCAAATATTATAAAGAACAAATCTCATTCATCAATTTATCGAAACAACAACAAATTTAACATACCCATTTTGCAACTACGAAGAAGAAGAAGAAACTCTAAACACAAAGAAGAAGAAGAAAACATCAGAAGAGAAAAAGAGAAAAATGTATGTATCTCAAGTTATCTAAAAATTGGGTATTAGTTAAAAAAATTTAAAAATGGTATAAATTCAATGGGTGACATAAAACTAGACGCCACATAAAAGTTTTACATTTGACTATAGTTGTTGGACCCCGGCACAGCCTGGGCTAATCGTAACTAGTCATATATATAAGGGGAAGTCGCCTTTATTTTGTTTAATAAATATCTTATGTAACCAAGGGCGGCTTAACAGTATTTGTGGCTTAATAAGAGGCCCTAAACTTTATTTTTTTTAAAATAATCACACACACATACGTGATATATATATATATATATATATATATATATTTGAATTCTATTTTTCTAATATTTTGAGATACAAAATTATTAATAACTTTTTATAATCGATCT